ACACATGAGTTTAGCTAGGACTAAAAACAGTCTACAGGGCTGTGCAATGGAAGAGACACATATTACCAGGAAGAGTTAACAGATGGATAGGTTGCAGAAGATAACTTGATTAAAGAAACATCGAGACTGTTAAAGAGGAGAGAAGATCGTCGACACCTGTTGAGTGAAGAGAGATTAGCAGGAATCAGATACATTATAATGAACCATGAATTCAAGTGACTTCCTCAGCACTGCCTAAGTAGAAACACCGCTGCCTCTCTGGGGAACTTGGTTTTAAAGTTTAGGTGGAGCAACTATTAAAGGGGTGGGCAAGGGGATGCAACTGCACTCCCCCCCCCGATCCACCTCTGCATGACTAGGTGGGGCATTTAGGGAAAAGGAAGTTGGATCTTAGGGCCTGGCTTTAAGAAGTAAGTTTTTCTCTATGGATGGTTGAGGTAAAGCAAAAACCCGCAGGTTTGTTTTTCTTAGCACTGTGTGGTTGAGGAAACAAAGAAGAAACCGTAAAGAGCATGGAGATTATGGAGCTGCTTCATCCGGTATCTCCTGGCAGGGAGGATGCCTGCTGTTAAGAGCTCAGTTGAAGAGACAGACAAGGTTGTTTGGGTGAATCTGATATTTTTTATTAGACCAACCTAAATAGTTGGAAAACAATTATTAAGCAAGCTTTCGGGTTCAAAAACCCTTCATCAGGCTAAGGAAGTTTCTGCAGTTGGTGTGTGCTTTTCCTGGATGGAGTGAAAAGTAAAGAAGCCAGATGCCGGGCTGGTCTGCATACAAGACAGGGAGTCAGTTAAAATGTAGATTGAGGAGTCAATGGGTGAGAGACAGGCTGGGGTAAGTGGAGGGGAGAGAGGGGGGATGAATAGTGGAGAGATACCTGGGAAGTCAGGCAGGTTATGATATGTAATAAATGTCTATATTCAGTCCATGATTTTTAGTATCCAGGAGGCTGACGAAGTGGAGTTCATAGCCTCGTCTCTGAGAAGTGTTGTGCAAGTTCCCTTTGAGGATCAGGACTGAGAGATTGGAGAGAGAGTGGTTTTCTTGTGAGAAATGTGCCCCCACCAGTAATTGGGTATTCGTGTCTTTGATAGATGTCCGATGCGCATTCATTCTGGTGCGGAGTTGTTGTTTGGTCTCTCCTACGTATTTTCCACCAGGGCATTTGGTGCATTGGATGAGATACATGACATTTCTGGAGGTGCAGGTGTAAGATCCAGGAATGCTGATGGCTCTGTTGTGGGGTGTAGTAATTGTGGGGGTGGTGGAGATGTGTTAGCAGGTTTTGCATTTCTTGTCCTGGCATGGTCTGGATCCTTTTGGTGTGTTCTGGGCTTGAGGAAGTTTGCTTCTGGTGATGAGGTTAGCGAGGTTCGGTGCTCATTTGAAGGCTAGGATGGGTGGCTCTGGGAAGGTCTCTTTAAGAATGGGGTCTCTTTCTAGCATGGGTTGCAATTGTTTGAGGATTTTCCATATGGGTTCGAGGAAGGAGTGATATGTCATAACCATTGGTGTGGAATTTGTGGGGGGTTTTCTTCTGTACTGCAGCAGTTCTTCATGTGGTATCCGGGTGGCTCTTTCAAACGTGCAACCTATCTCTCTGGAGGAGTGTCCTGGTTGGGTGAAAGCTTTTTGAAGATTGGTGAGGTGGCAATCCTGGGTGTTCTCTTTAGTGCAAATCCGGTGGTATCTGAGGGCTTGGCTGTATATCACAGCTTTTTTGGTGTGTTTAGACTGATTGCTGGTTCTGTGCATGTCTATTGGTCTGTGGGTTTCTTGTATAATGTGGTCTGTATTTTACCATTCTGGATACTGATCATCGTGTCTAAAAAGGAGATGTTGGTGCTGGAGTATTCTAGAGAAAGTTGGCTGGAGGGATGGTGATTGTTGAATTTCTGATGGAACTCAATCAGAGATTGCAGGTTTTCAGTCCAAATGATGAAGATGTCATCGATATATCTTAAGTATAACAAGGGTTTGATGGTGCAGTTCTGGAGGAAGTCTTCTTCCAGGTGGCTCATAAAAAGGTTGGCATACTGTGGGGCCATTTTGGTGCCCATAGCTGTTCCCATTGTCTGGAGGAACTGTTGGTTATTAAAAGTGAAATTGTTGTGTGTGAGGATGAATTGTACAAGGTCAGTAATATCTTTGGGTCTGTATTCTGAGTTGTAATCTTGTTCCTGTAGATATGTAAGGCAGGCTTGGATGCCGTCCTGGTATGGGATGTTGGTATATAGGCTGGTAACCTCCATGGTGGCTAGGAGGGTGTTGCTGAGAAGGTGGTCTATGTGTTTAAGTTTCCATAGAAAGTCTGTAGTGTCTTGTACAAAACTTGGTCTGTGGGTGACAAGCGGTGTTAGGATTGATTCAACAAACCTGATATTTCCTCAGTTAGGGTCCCATGGTTGGATATGATAGGTCTGCCAGGGTTCCTTTGTTTGTGGATTTTAGGGAGCATGTAAAAAGTCCCCAGGTTAGGTAATGGGGGGATCAAGGTCTGTAGTTTTTCTTGTAGTCTTGATGGAAATGATTTGATGGTATTGTTGAGTTTCTTGGTGAAAAGGGGAGTAGGATTTTCTTGCAGTTCTTTGTAGTAAAGAACTTTTGAGGTAAACAGAGGTATCTGAGACGCTGTTTGCTGGGCTCAAAACCAACAAGTGATTGGTCCTACATTGTGCATTGTGTTCCAAGCTGCCATCTATTGGCAGGGTGTACATTAATTATCTAGTGACCTACACCAGGACATAGCTCCCCTTCGGAGAGCATTCTTTTAAACACCAGAGCCCAGGAGCAGTGCCTCAAGGTGTAAAAAATGACAACCATCACACTGCATCATGAAAGGGGAGCAGGAGGGAGGACTGCAGCCAACCTTCCAGCCTGAGGCCCAAATTCTACCTGATTCTGATGTACCTGTGTAACCGAGGGCAGAATGTGGCCCCTGAGGGATCAGCTTACATATTGAGGGATGCCTTCACCTTGGAAGAGCCTGAAGACTTTGTGCAAATGGCCTGAGCCAAGACTCAATGAAGTCCACAGGACTTGTTTTATTTAAAGGCAAGGTGAGATGCTTGAAGGCATAAGCCATGAAATCATCCACAAAATATTTCATCGCTGCAGCCACTCCCCGTTCAACCTGGCAGCTCAGAGAATAATTTTATCTTTTTGTCATCAGACCAATTTTCTTTCAATCTATGCTGTACCTTCATTCTTAGGAACACTTAAGAGCGGGAGGGGTTTGAACTCGCAAGTCTACACTGTTTCCCAATGCGCTTTTCTTTTATGTGTATATAGAAGGCCAGTTCCAGACCCAAACTTTAAAAACAAAGAAAGTTGGCCGTCTTTGAGTTTTAGGGACATGGAACTGAGAACACATTTCTGACTCCTAAAAAAGCATCTATGACTTCTTTGTATCACTGGATATAAGTATCATATGTACAGTAAAATCCCAGTTATCCAGCATTTGAGTAACCAGAACACTCTATTAACTGGAATTTCCGGCTGGGTAGCCAGCCAGACACAGGCAGGGAGTGGGGGGAAGCTCACACGTGATGACCGCTGCCACCACCCACCACCTGGCGCTGTAGACGCTCCATGTGCAGCTGCTGCCACCCCCACCCCCACTCTATGTGCAGCCAAAAACCACTGGTCTCAGATACCCAGCACCCCCATTCCCCACTTGTGCAGGATAACAGGGATTTTACTATATAAATATAAGTATTGTATCACTGGATATTATATATATTCAGTAATATAAAGAAGTTATAGATACTTTTTTAGGAGTCAGAAATTTGGTTTAATCCATGTTCCCATAACTCAAAGGTGGACACCTTTCTTTGGTCCTTAATGGTATCCTACTTTCAGAGGGGGGCTTTCAGCATAAGTAGGCATACATGTGCAAACTTAAATTCAGCCAGCTCAGGCAATGATACCAGTGAAGACGCAGAGGTATCAGCTTCTGTGTAAGTTACCTGGCCCAGTATGTTTCCATGTTTGGGAGTGGGCATGTAGAGCTCTCAGGAAAGCCTGTGTTGCCATGTCTTCACCATTACCACTATGCACATCAGGCCAGTCTAGTTAGGGTGCAGCTACATGAGCATCAGTCGTCCGTCTCAAATGCAGGATAGATGGAGTCTAAGAGGAGAACTCCTCACTGGCATATAGGATTTGAAGTGGTGATTAGGGGGAATCCCTTCCGTGAGTGAGTGAAGGGGACTGGAGTCAGTGGCCCAAAGGGCCCTTGCAGTCCTATTTCCTATATCCTCTTCTGAAATATTTTGCAGCCAAGGATATCTTCTGTTCAAAGCTGGGATGGGGTTCTATCAAAGCCAGGATATCCCATGGAAACCTGCTAGCAGGCTGAGGGCTTGATCCTAATCCCACTGAGTTCAATAAGTGTTTCCTTTCTGGCTCCAGTGTGAGGACAAGATGAGTTCCTTCCCTAGCATGGTCATGCAGTTTTGATCACTTCCTGCAAGGTGCTGAGCTCCTTTAAGTCCTCCAAAAGTCCCACCCCCACAGCGGATAGTTTCATACAGAGGAAAGTGCCCAGCTGGGACGATGGATGCAAAACACCATACTGTGCATCTTCTCAATTTTGGATTCCTTGGATATGGACCTCAGGGTCAGAGAGACAGGGGTCCAGAAGGATCAGTGTGCAGACCAGCAGGGTAAGATGCAGTGTGACCCAGAGGTGATGGCTACCTGTGGGACTGGGTTGTTCCAAGAGCTCATGAGTAGAAGTCAGGAGTCTAAACCTTCATTGCTTTCATACAGTGAGCAGACCAGTATCTAATGAGTGAAGCCATAGTCACCCAACATATTTAAATAGTCAACCATTAAATAGTTTCTAACATGACTTTTGGGCACAGACAGAAGTGACAATTTTCTCCCCATCTGGCCACAGAAAGCAGTTTATACATAGCAGTGATCAAACACAAGTGCATGGATGATTGCATAAGGGGTCAGATGAAGACGTTTCATAACAGAGCATCTTCTGTCACTTCTGTCTGCGCTGCCTGCCAGCCTCAAGCAGTTTTCAGAATGGGAGGGGGGAAAGGATCAAGGCAGTTGAGGCTGGGGGGGTCTCAGCCCCTGCTCCAATTCACCCACCTCATGGTCCAGCGCTGGCTGGGGAACCCCTAGAATGAGCCCCTCTCCTCCCTTTCCCCCCTCCCATTTTGAAACAGGGGCAAGCTGGGACAGACATGGGGCTGTTGCTAGGAGAAAACAGCTGCCGGCTGCAGCCAGCAGCTGATATTTCCCTTCCCGACTGAAACCAACACTGAACTTCTGTTTGTCCAGGGGATTGTTGTAACTCCCAGCACTTCCTGCAAAGCGTTCCCAGCTACAGCAGGAACTTGCACTTCTGTCTTGGTGGGAGGTCCTGCCTTCAGCCAACCCAACTGGTCTCTCTTCTCTTTCTCCACTTCCCTGTTGCAAAACTGATTTTCTTGTTGATTTCCACTGAATCCCCCATGAATCAAAATGTCTTTGGGAGCCTGAGAATATGCATCCCATGGAGATTCCTGGAGTAGCCTGAAAATGATGGGAAGCTGAGTGAAAAAGAGGCAGTTGCCCATCATGGTGTTTGTGTCCAGGCCAGAAGTGATGACACCATTCTGTCAAGGCTGAAATGGTTTTCTATGGAAACACCAGAAGGTTGTACTTTTCCTCCCAAAATTTCCCTGCCGCTTAAAGGATCCCACTGCATGTTTTCGTGGTCTGGCCACTACTCTGTTTGTGTAAATAAAAGCTCCCTCTCTTTAAAATAGTTTCCTTTTTGGTTAAGCATCTTGCAGATACCAGCGTGCAGGCATCTCAAGCAAACCTCCCCTCAGAGAGCCTCTGGTTTCCCAGTGGTCAGCGAAATAGAAGTGGTGTAAATGGAGCTGATTTTACTGGCTCCACTTCGTATAGCATCAGGAGAGCAGCTGGAAATAATGCAGGCGAGGGGGCGAGCTCATGCTGACTTTCCAGTGGAGCTGTGCCATTAAAGCCCTCCAGTCTCTGATGACTATATCATGGCTGAGCCCCTACAGCACTGCAAACATGTAATGCAATTGGGATAAAGCTATAGCCCGTGTGTGCTGTGATGAAATTCAGGACATTAAGCCAGTAGTGGATTAAGGTTAAATAGGTCCCAGATCCATCAAAATATTGCCCCCAGAAAGAAAGCTCTATGGCACGTTGAGACTTTTTCCCTCCCCTGGGATTTCTAAAATAATCTGCAGTGTTGAATTTAGCACAAGGAGTAAGTAGATGAAATTCTATGGCCTGTGTTACAGAGGAGGTGCTACTAGATCAAGGTGGGCAATTATTTGGGCAGGAGGGCCACTTAAGGAGTTTTGGTGAGCTGCTGAGGGCTATCGGGGTGCTGACCCAACATGGCATGGCAGAGGGTGGGGTGCTGATTTGGCCTGGTGCAGCAGGTGGGGGGGGGGGACAATTGATCCTATCTGTCCCTGGGCCCATCCACCCTGCACCCACCTCTGGGGGCACAGGGTGGAGTGGGCAGGCAGGGTCTTCATGGAGACTGGCCCAGGACCCCCAGGGGAAGGACATGCTCAGCCGGGCAGATGGGATGGGGTCACAGGTGGGCAGGGAGCAGTATCTGGGAGCACCATGTACGGGCAGGACCAGGATTGCAGGGTGGTGACAGCGTGGGGCCCAGGGCAGAGCCATGATTTTCTCCTTGCACATCCCTGCAACAAGTGCCACTTCTCTGGGCAGGGATCTGCGGGGAAAGGATTGCAGCTCTGCCCCCGGCCCTGGTCCCGTGCTGTCACCGCCCTGCAATCCCGGCCCCCATCCCATCTCATCTGCTCAGCTGAGTGTGCCCTGCCTGTAGGGGTCCTGGCTGATCTCCTTGGAGAGCCCACCTGCTGGCCTGCTCTGTCTAGCACCCCCAGCAGTGGCTATGGGGTGGACAGGCTGGGGTGCCGGGGCAGCGGGGCCAGGTCTAGCAGTGGTGGTGACTCTGGCAGTGGCCTCTTGAAGGAGCCACCGCCGCCAGGGCTGCTAGGAAGCTGAGTCTGGCCCCTGCACCGCCCTCACCCTGCTGTGTATGCAGGCATGGAGGACCAGGCGCACGTGCCACGGCCCAGGATGCCCCCTGCACCTGGTCTGGGTGGGGCCAAGGGACCCGCTGTGGGCCAGATGCAATCCCTTGGTGGTCTGGATCCAGCTTATGGGCTGTATTCCCCCACACCCCCGGTGCTAAATGATCAGAGAGGTCTCTTCTCACTGTGACTAGAAATGCCAATGGGTTTCCTCATGTATGCATAAAGGCAGTAGCATACCCACTCTGTGAATTAGCACCAGAGATCATGTTGTTGGCCAGAATTAGCCAGAACATGTTGGCAGTGAGTGAGGTGAAAAGCATTTGGC